TATTAAACACGTTTTGCTGTCTTGTGAAGTGTCTCTCAAGTGAAAAGGGTCAGGATGAGGGAGCCATATTTTCAGCAAATTGGCTACAGAGTGTCCTGGGATTTTGTGCAGGAATGTTCAGTCCTGAGGCAGACAGAAGAAGAAATAAAATATATAAGGCAGTTGATGGTCAACTTTCTACAGAGTTACTAAATCCTAGTGATATATAGAAGAGTTCAGATGTTGATGGAGCTTTATTTCTGCATTTGTCTATGGTACCTCTAGTGTTATTTTTAGGCTTCCTTGAGGTAGATTTGAGGGAGGGAAAACAGAATAAGTCAGTCAGCTGTTAAGGCCACATACTCCCCTTCCAACTTAGCATTCAATGGTATTTTAAATTAATATCATTCACACTAATGTAAATCCAACAAAACTGTGTAGAACATCACATAGCATAACCAATATTCACAGCAAGATACTTTACAACATATTTAAATTTATTTGGTACCACATATTCTAAACAATCAAATGTTGAGATTTGCAAAGGTTGAGTTAGCGCAACACTTCTCATTTTTTTAAATTGAAGTACAGTTGACATACACTGTTATATTAGTTCTAGGAGTGCAATATAGTGATTCGACAATGCTGTACATTGGCTATTACCTGTCATCATATAAGGTTATTACAATATTATTGTCTATATTCCCTATGTTTTACTTTTCATCCCTGTGACTTATTTATTTTACAACTGGAAGTTTGTACCTCCTAATCCCCTTCACTTACTTCACTCATCCCCCCCAGGCCCTTCTCCTCTGGTAACCACAAGTTTGTTCTTTGTATTTATGAGTCTGTTTTTGTTTGTTTATTCATTCTTTTGTTTTGTTTTTCAGATTCCATGTATAAGTAAATCATATGGTATTTGTCTTTCTTTGTCTGACTTATTTCACTTAGCAAAATACTATCTAGGTCCATCCATGTTGGATCAACTCCTCTCATTTGCTTTTGTATTTTACCTTCTTACTTACCCATCGCTGTCATAGGTAACCGTCACAGCCCATTCACCCATCATGTTCTGTAAATGATACTTCCACAGAATTGTCTTTTATTTTAGTCTGCGTCTTGGCAAGACGCAGAGCTGATAGCATCAATAACAGAGCAAATAAATTCATCACAATGGTAAGTTTTAGCAGAAAGTAAAAACCATTGTCATTTGGGTGCCACTGTCCTCTGAAGGCTTTGGAGAAGCATATGGATGACTCTGTTTTCACTGAATTTCTAAAAAGATCTTTCCTTCCATTAATTTCCCTATGTGTAACATTTTTGTGTGTGTGTATATGAAAAGCTAAATAGAATCCCGCCCACCTACCCAAGATGCCCACTTCCTAATCCTTGGACCCTGTGAGTGTTACCCTATGTGGCAAAAGGGACTTTGCAGACATGACTAAGTTAAGGATTTTGAGATTGGTTTCTGGGTGAGCCTGATGTAGTCATGGGAGTTCTTTTAAGAAGGAGGCAGTCAATCAGGGGGAGAAAGCAATATGATGACAGAGGCACAGATTGGAGCTATGCTGACATAAGTGAAGGAATGCCAGCAACCTTGAGAAGCTGTAAGAGGTAAGGAATGAATTTTCCACTAGAGATTCCAGAAGGCATCAGCCCTTTTGACATCTTGACTTCAGTTCAGTGAAACTGATTTTGAACTTCTGGCCTCCAAAATTGCAAGAAAATGTATTTCTACTGTGTTAAGCCACCAAGTTTGTGGTAATATGTTATAGTAGCCACAGGAAACTAATACATTATGTCAAAGAATCTAGGTCACTCTATTAGTTAGTCTTTATGTAGAGTTTGGACTCTGTATCCAGGGCAAGCTTAAGACGCAAGGAATAAGCTTTCTAGCCATCAGATAATTCAGAGAAATTCCAGTGCCTTCTGAGACAAAATCCTTTTATCTAATGAGGCAGCAGATTCCTTGTAACTCATTAAAAAAGAGTTATGGAACTCTTTCCCAATTTTTTCCAAAGGTTAAAAATCCTTTAGGGTAAACACAGAAGATCAAAGAAAGCTAAATTTTCCAGTAAATGACCCTTAAAGAAAATAATGGAGGTCACCTTCTAGACTTTTAAGTCATGAATGACTCTTTATCTTCCTTTTTTGCTACCACATATATATTTGCATTCTAAATCCACTTGCCCCAGTGTTATTAAATGATGCAACAGTGATCCCATGATTTAGAAAAGCAAAATGTATGCAAACCCATACTTACATAGCAATTGAATTGTAACTATTAAGTTCAAATGATTCTTAAATTTAGCAGTGGTAACCTAAAATGGTGGACACTGTAGCTACATTTACCCTGTTGGTTTCATAGGTCATTAATTGTTTCAACAGCTGAAGGGCAGATGAGCAAAATTAAAAATTTAAGAAACAGGAGTAAATGAAGATAAAGCACTTTTAAAATGATAACACAAGTGGGTGACAAGATAGAAATGCAAGTCTGATTTGTGCTTACATTTTAAGGAAAACATTGTTAAGAATATAATGAGATACTGGTGAATAAGAGTTAAACATTTTGAGATGGAATTGTCAAGACTATGACTCCATGAGTTATGAATCACCATCTTACTAAGTACTATTGAAACATATTTATTAGTGTGTGACTTAGGAAAATTGTTATCTCTCAGGGCCTCTGTACCTTCTGACATAAAACCAGAGCCAATAGAACCTACTTTGCAGGACTGTTGTGAGAACAGAATGAGATAAAAAATGTGAAGATACTTAAGAGAGTGCTTGGCACATAGTAGATGAAAATCAAATGTTACTTTTCCTTCTAATTTTCCAAAGCTGTAATTAAAAAAAAAATTCTAGCCTCCCACTAGACTAAAGAAAAATATTCTCACTGTTAATTTACTTGGATGTTGCAAAGAGATGTCCTGCAATAATCTTGTCTCTTCTAAAAGTTAATGCCATAAATGACAGTTCTACCCCATGTAGTTAAGAAAAATGCTTTGCTTGACAACAGATCACTAATGACTCCTCTTATTTAACCCGTATTCTTCTGTACCATGGTCATGAGCTAATTTCTGGAAGGCTGCATATACAGTTGTTAAGAATAAGGGCTCAATACTCAAACTTCACAGGTTCTAATCATTTACATATTTTAGAATATCAATTAACTACCAAATGTTTCCATAACTCAATGTCCACGTCTTCAAAATGGAGTTAATAATAATAGTATTTTTCTCCATAGATGGCTCTGAGGATCAAATGAGTTAGTCAAGCAAAGGTTATGAAATATAGTTAGTATGCAGTTGAAGTTAACTTTTATCATTATCACCAGCTTACAATCTTTATTATTATTATTAAATATTATTACTTTCATTATTATTATTATTGGATCTCATCTAAAACTTATTGCATTTTGTAAGAGTACATTAGAAAGAGAGAAAAAGAATGAGAAAGAAAGAAAGAAAAAAGAAAGAAGAAAGAAAGAAAGAAAGAAAGAAGAAAGAAAGAAAGAAAGAAAGAAAGAAAGAAAGGAAAAAGCCGTAGAGGAGGCTAAGTTTTAGGCTAGAAAACTTGTTACAATCTATATATGTTATATATCAAACACACACACGCACACACACACACACATATATATAATTTAGAGAAATTTAATATGTTGAGGACATTTCCTACCATCTACATAGGAAATAAGACTCCCAAAGAGGACATAAGTGTGTGTACCATTAAAATTAGTCAGCATCCTAGAGAGAACAGTGGGCTGTGGCTGAGACAGAGAAGAAATAGTTTTGTTTGCAGTTTAGACTTGGCAGTTTTAGAGTTGAAGGTCATGGTTGCCAAGTTAGTGACAACTTCTGGGAGGCTTCTAGATTAGTCATTACCTAAATGAAAAAGGCTATAGATAATATGGAGAATAAAGGAAAGTCTTTGGAATCCAACTTAACTGGGTCTTTGGGCAAGTTGCTTGCCCTATTGGACTTTTTTTATCTGTAAAAATGGGGAAAATAATATGTTTTCATAGTTGTCTTCATAGGAGATTATGTAGTGGTATGGTGGCATATTGAAAGTATTAGGATGGTAGATGTGAGAAGGTGCTTGTAGGAAGAGCAAGTTCTCACTGAATACATGAAAGAACTGAAGTAATTAGTTACATACGTATATAAAAGAGAGAAATAAGTTCCAAGTAACAGTGTTCTCTATGTAAGAATAGAGTGGGGGGAAGCTCTTGCTAAATTTAATTCAAGAGGAAAACATAATGTGCTTTCCATTGTTCAGAATTAAAATTTATGTAACCCCTTTGTGGTTTATCCCATTAGGCAAGGTGAACATTGTAACTTGCTCTGTTCCATGATATGTTAAAAGGCATATAGCAAGTTGGTGGGTGATTCTCTGTCTTCCCTCTGCCTCTACTGGCAATATTTCCTATAGTCAAGGCTCTCTACTCCTGAATCCCAAAATGAGAATGATTTTGGAGATGGAATAATGAATGTGTATGAGTGATAAATAAACCATTGCAATTTCAAGCTTCTGGAATTTTTAAGTTCTTGGTTACTGTGATAAAACACAATCTGTTCTGACTGAAGAACCTTCAAAATTCCGTTTAAGTGTTAGAAAATGCAGATGCACACTTAATGTTCAAGTGGTATGACATATTCAGTCAGAACCTTGAAAGTATCTATCTTGTTTGCTTTTTTCAGACACTCTTTTTTTCTTTAAATATATTTTGTTTAGTATAACTAAAAGGCTTTAACTTTATGAAGGACGATAAAGAATTTAAAAAGTAGTTTTCTGAATTATTTGAAGTAACTTTATTTAGAGATAACCATGAAAACTTTCTTTTTGCTTAAGATCATATTAATGACATAGAAATCAAGAAGCCTGATAGCAAAAATATTCTGGTGAATAAGCAAACAATTAAAATCACTTAGAATCTGATCAAGTAAGAATATCGGTTAAAACAGTAACTGAACTAAAAGCACAATGATCCAGCAGCCTAAGAATGATCCATCAACCTAAAGATTATATTTTTTACAAAGCTCTCTAGCAAGATGCTAGAATGACAATTCAGCATGATCTTCTAATAAATGGAGTTTGCCAAGTCCCAAAGGAGCAAGCTGGTTGGAAACTTTTGTATATGTAGAGAACAGGTTGAAACCTACTAGACACATAGTCCAGGGGCCTGAAGCTGCTGAACACATAACTGAGAGGTTGACAGTCATAGGAGAGATATCTCAAAGGAGGGCAGGCACTGGACATAAAATTCAGTGGTCGATACCCACAGGAGATGAAGTTCTGTGGTTGACAGCCATAAGAGAAGTGGTTCTGCGGGTGGAAACGACTGGACAAACAGTTCTGATGTCTATTATACATTGATGGTTGACAGGAACTAGAGAGATAAGAACTAATGGGAAAAAAACTGATTCCTCTGCAGGGCCAGGAGGCACAGTATGTAGTGGAAGGATAGCAGAAAGTTTCATAGGTTGTGGGTCCACAGCTGGATTGTTGGTAGCTGGAAGGTTTACCACATGTCTTCAAGAAGTTGTCCAGAAGCCATGTTCTGTTTTGGCTGGGCAAGGAGAGACTATCACCACAGTTCATACCAGCAGTGTAGAAATTAGTGGATGAGGTAACAGGAACATGGCAGTGACTCCCAAGAGAGGGAGAACCATGGTTTCCAGGAGAGCAAATGTTGGATGACATGGTAGAATTTGAAGTAAAGAGTTCAGATAAGCAGTGAAGAGTACCTTGTCTAAATCTGCATGAAACTAGACCACATTGCTTATATACCTTGGTGGTACATGCCCAGACTCTCCTCCTACACATATTTTAAATAAGTTAGCATCATAACATTTCATTAGTTCATTGTTGTGCTGCCTGGGAAGATGACTTCCCACTCTTCCATAAAATAAGTCCAGTTTACATGTCCTATGTATCTGCCATCTTAATCTTTTCCTTGTTATCAGGCTTGAGAATTTATGATGCAATCACCTGTGTACTTTACCTGTTTTGCTTCTGTTCCCACCCCTCAATAATGCTTGATTAAAAGGAGTTCATTTGAAGAGATGTTTACCCCAGTCATTATCCACAAGAAAAAACACAGGAGGGCATAATCTTCACCTTTGAAGAAGAAACCTAATGTTGCAATACTTGGAGGAAGTATTTAATGTACTGAAATAGATCCTATATATCAAAACTTACTGGATTTTCCAGATGGAAAACCTCATACTGTTCCATATTTCAATACTCAGCTGAAAATCTAATTATGTGGTGGTGTTCTCTGTGTATTTGTCCTGACAGTTAATTTCAGTTAAGCATCTTCGAGTACATTTTAAAGAGCTTCACCCTGACAACTGATATTCTTCATATTTAAAAGTTGGGTTTGATTTCCAAAAACTGAAGAAATGTATGTGATATTCCTACATGGTAACACTGATGACATACTTGGTTTTACTAGCAAAAATATCATCCATGTCTGTTGGTGGCATTCAACTAAGAAGATAAACATGATATCAAAAGTCATCACCTTGTATACTTGCATTCCAGAATTAATGGATGTCTTCACCTGAGATAATTTACTAAGACACCTCAGTCTTCATACGATTAAAGTGAACAAAGATTAAGAAATATTTTAGTGTCGGGCGCCTGGGTGGCTACTTGGTTAAGCGACTCCCTTTGGCTCAGGTCATGATTCTGGAATCCCAGGATCAAGTCCCGCATCGGGCTCCCTGCTCAGCGGGGAGTCTGCTTCTCCCTCTGACCCTCCACCCTCTCATGCTCTCTCTCTATCATTCTCTCTCTCTCAATAAATAAATAAAAATCTTTAATTAAAAAAAGAAATATTTTAGTGTCACATGAAGAAAGATGTTTGAATAGTTCTTACTTGGATACCATGTAAGGAACAATCTCTGGGCCTTATTTTGGATTGTTCCCCAAAGATGTGAGTTAATCCTTACAGATATTGATTTCCTTGGGTCAGTAGTCATCCAGAACCAGAAATATTTCTTTTCAAGCTACTACTGAGGTCAAAGATGATGGAGTTGGGACTAACTGGAGAAAGGTAAATATTCCAAGCAGCAATTTGATGATCCTTTTGGTGGATGCTTTCCTATCACACTACAGCCCCAGTTCCTCTGGGGAACATGGCCTTGGGGAGGCATGGTGGCATCAGTAGCCATGAAGTCACTTCCCCTCTGCACGATCCTCTTGTCCCACCAATACCCATTGTCCCTGTATTATCCATTGAAGAGTCTAGAAGACGGATTCATTTTTTTTCCCCCTGAGGAAAGATATTTTACAATGCTTATAGCTTTTCAAGTAAAAGTAAGGAGATCTCATACACCCATGCAAGCATGCATAGGAAAAGGGGATGATTATGAGCACATTTGTGATATATATTTTTTAAATGTTTTATTTTTAAAAAACATCACAGAAAGCATGACCTTGGTGCAGATGGAATGTTCAGGTCTCTCTCCTGAATTTCAACTTTTTTTCTTTTGTTTCAGGTAGTGGAGAAAGAAATATTTGATATTTCATGTGGGGAACTTTCCAAATCAGTATACCGCATTCTTCCTCACAGAAAACCTCAGATGACTTCCCATTAGTGTGAGTCCTGTTTCTGGTAAAAATAACAGAGGATATTGAGTCATCAAGAGTTGAGAGTTTGAGAAGTCTTTTTGATAAATTCCTTATCTCCTCTAAGAGCTTTAAGCCTTTACAGATAAATGAAATCTCTTAAACTCTTATTTGCTTCCAAAAAAGATTCTTCCTCTCACCTTGATAACTCCTAACCAAAATAGTTTTTTGTGTGTCACACCTAAGATCCTCATGATTTAGTTCAAGATTCTCTTTACTTCCTTTGTTCCTTGCAAAGTTCAAAAAGAAGTGATAACCCACTAGTCTATAAAATCTCTTCCTCAGCATGTAGGCATGCTGCATATGAGTTTCAAAAAGATAACTAAAATCTTTCTTTTTAGTCCATAGTAAAAATAGATTTGGTCTTTATAGAACTGCTATTGAAATGTATTTGATAACTGGGACATGGCTGAGGCTACAGTTATCAAGCTGAATGTGACCCCATCATTAATCATCAGTAAATAAAATGTAAGTTAGACGCAAGAAGTGGAACTGAGAGAAGCCTGGTATCACCAACTCTTCATCGCATTTTTATGACAAATACAGGAGAGTACAATACACAAACCTAGCTGACATGTGTCCTAACTTATTATTTGTAATTCCTCTTGATGTCTACAGAGACTTTCTTCAAGTTTGTTACATCTCTATACAACCTCAAGAGCCTGAAATAGAAAAAAAATACTGAGAAATTCTATCTTTTGTTAGAAATGATTGATTGAAGATATGATGAAATAACACAAAATAATGAAAATCACATCGAGAGTTTCTCATTCTCACATAATAGTCAATTAACACTTTCAATTAATTAACGAAATCTTATTTAGAGTCTGTAAGTCTAATACAACCTCCATTTTTTCATTAGAGTTCATTAGAGTGAACTATTTTCATTAGAGTTTCATTAGAGTCCATTATTCTGCTCCACAACACCCATATTTCAGTTTTATTTAAATATTCAAAATGTCCTAAGCCCTGCTTTTTAAATCTCAAAGACTGCACAAGCTTTTCCTCTCTGGAACACCCTTCTCTAGTGTGCCTTCTGGGGATGATGGTGCATTCTGTACAGCAGATCCAGAATCACTGTCTCAAAGGTATTTCTAAGTAAAAAGATATTTTTACTCACTTCCACGTATGATGTCTTTAACATGCCATTTGATTCCCCCCATGTTAATATAAAAGTTGGAAGTCATTTTCATATCGACCTAATTGTCCTGGTTGTGTGCAGAGATAGGGAAATACTCCACTTTCTCAATTCCTCACTTGTCCTTTCTTAGAAATACTGTTCTTGTCATATGTATATCAACTTAGCCCAGAACAAATAATGTTCACTCAAGGATTTAGTAGCTCTATCCAGGACATCACCACATTTTAATAAAATAGCATAATAATTCTAATGTATACAGTAGGCAAATAATATGAACTATGAGTCATATCTGGAAGATAAATGCTCCCTAAGACCGTTTTCTTCATTTTGCTTTCCTTCGTTCTTTTTCTTCCCTCTACAGAATTTTATTTTCAGATTAGTTAATGCACTTATAATATTGAATCTATTTGCTTAAAGCCTCTCTATCCTGTAAAACTTTGACTTGCTCGAGGTCAGAGACTATGTCTCATTCATGCCAACATCACGAGTTGCCAATTTCTTGAACACAGTAGATGATCAATAAACATTTTTGAATGCCGAATAAATCACATATTCTTTGAACTGAGATAAAATTTCTTTCTAACCTCAGATACTTATTTGACGTCTTGCCTTTGATGACTTTTTCTTTTTTAGTCAAGTTTAGCATCCTCAGTGGAGTTCTTGATTTCATTCCTCAAAATTTTCTCTCATGTACTTTCCCATCTGAGTTAGTGAAAAATTATCTACCTGGTTTCTTAAGCCAAAGATCAGCACATCAACCTTGATTCTTCCTTTCCCTTACCACTTACAAACAATAAGCAAGTGCTGAGTTTCTTTTTTCTAAGTAGATCTCAACTGCGTCTGCTTCTATCCATGTATCTGCTTTCTCATTTCAGTTTTCCCAAGCTGTCATCATTCCCACAATTCCACAACTTACTTACCTGCTTCCCCTCCTTATCCTTCTAATTTGTTCCTTACACTGTGGTCATAGTGGTATTTACTTATTTGTTCTCTAATACTTTCCCTTTCTTTAGCTCTAAATATCTCATCTATATAGCTTTCCTTCATTCTGAAGGATTTCTTTTATTTCTTGCAAGGGAGGTATACTGGTGATAAATTAACTCAGTTTTGTATTTGATCAAGTCTCTCTCCTTCATTTTGAGAATTAATTTTGCTGTATCCAGACTTCTAGGTTGGTACGTTTTTTCTTCAATACTTTAAAAATTTCACTCTACCCTTTTCTTGCTTGCACAGCATCAGAAGAGAAATCTGGTGTAATTCATATTCTTGTTCCTTTATAGGTTTTTCTTCCCTCTGGCCTCTTTTAAGATTTTCTCTTTTTATTTTTTTAATTTAATTAATTAATTAATTTATTTATTTTGCAGATTAAGTATATGTCTAAGGTGTAGATGTTCTGGCATTTATCTGGAATATGTTCTCTGAGCTTCCTCAATCTGTGGTTTAGTGTCTTATCATTACTTTAGGGGAATTCTCAGTCATTATTGCTTCATATAATTCTTCTATTCCTTTCTCTCTTTCTTCTGGCATTTTCATTACATGTGTGTTATACTTTTTATAATTGTTCCACAGCAACAACTTCCAAGTTTGTTATATGACAGACTGGAAACTGGAAGTCCAGAATAATATTTTTAGAACTAGTGTAATTATCTTATTTAAAACATTAATAATTTTTTTA